TTCTTCTTGCCGTTGAACTTCTGTATCATGACTACGTTGGATACCCAGGAGGGATATCGAACCTCCCGGATGTAGTTTGCCTTTATGAGTTTTTGCAGTCCTTCGCGAAATTGGCTCGACCAAAGTCATGACTAACAATTGAATCTTCTGCTTCATAGGCCGGGTGGACAGACTAAGATAGACTGACTTTGAGGCGGTGACAAGCCACATCAATGGGGATGCTTGGTATCTCAGAGGCTGACTAGGTGAAAATGTCACAGTGCTCTGTAAGAGTCAGGATCAACGAATCTTTCTAACCTGCATTAAAAGTTTCACTAATTCCAAAAACTTTATCAGGATCGTCAAGGTTTGCGGGGATCTTTTTTGGTGGCTTCATCGGTTTCAAGACCCCCTTCTCGTTGGTATTGTATGGCCAACATTCCTTGTTCCATGCTGCCCACTGCCCGAAAGTAACATGTTCGGGACTGCTTTAGGTTCTCACACATGATTACAATTTCTCCCATCGCAAAGAAATTTTACCGTTATGTGGTACGTAGACACCATGACCCTGAAATTTTTGAGAAGTGGACGACCGATTATCGCATTATACATTGTTGCATCAACCACCGAAAAGTCCATATTACTGAACTAACTGCCCTCTTCTCCCCAGCTGACAGACAGTTCAATTATCCCAAGTGTCTCCTTCCTTTTGTCGGAAAAGTCATATAGAGGGTCAATCAATGCAACCAAACGATCAATTGACAGATTCATCTTGTCGAAAGGCTTTGAACATAATGTTTCCCGAGCTACTTGTGTTAACCAAAATGCTACTTATTTGATAATTGTTAATCATTGCCATAAAGACAATGCGTCATTGTAAGGATTCCCTGCAGGGGACAAGTCAACATCAGTGAACATAATCGGGGATGGGCCTTCCTCCTTCAGACAGATCCAACAACACAATATTCTCCTGATCTGCTCCTCCTTCGGTCGGGTCTTCTAACCAAATCTCCTCCCAGTATTGCTAGCACTTTCTTCGAAATGTGGATAGTGTGGCTCGGACAAGTCCATCTTAGTCATCTTTGCTCGTGCCTTCCCTCTCCCCGAGTGCGTGCTTTAGGAGCTAAAACTCCTTGAGCTTCCTGGCTCGTATCAGCTCTTCAACCAAACTTCAGAGGTGTCTGCACTCCTCCGTATCGTGGTGGTGGTCTTTGTGGTACTTGATATACTTATTTGTGTTCCGGAGGAAAACTTCTTTTTTCTTCAGTGGGGCCTTTCAAAAGTAATCCTTGTCCTTAATGGCTTCAACTAGTTTTGTCATTGACACCCTTAGCTGCGTAGGTCTCGACGTTCCTCAATCGCCAGTGGAGCGATCATTCAATCGACTGCATTTTTGTGCTTTTCGGTAAGTCTCCCTATCTCTACGGGACGACCGACCTCTTTCTTGCTTAGGGCGAGGGCTATCCTTCTCCCTCCACCCATCGTCTCGTGAGTCTTTCTTACCCAACCGTCGGTCGGTTTTATTGATTTTTGAGACAATCATGTTCACGTACTCTGCCGCTGCTGTTTGGTCGTTGGCCATCTCTATGAGTTTGGCCAAAGTTTCGAGTATTTGTAAACCTAGAAAATACTTGAACTGACGGCTCTTCAGCCCTTGCGCTAATGAGGCCTTTGCAATTGTTGGCTCCAGATTCCGCACCTCGAGCATATCCTTCTGGAACCATGTGACGTACGCCCACAGGCTCTCGTTCGATCCCTGCTTCACGTGCCACAAGGATCCCAAATCCTTTGGGGCTTTTGGGCGCTAGCAAATTGCACCGTAAATAACGTTTTGAAATTTCTGAAGTAATAATTTCGGCAAGGAGTGCATTAAACCACCTTAGGGATGAATCTTTGAGCGTGGTGTAGAATAGTCGACATTTTAATGCGTCAGAAACTTTGAAAAGGCATATGACCGACTCAAAGGACGCAATATGATCACTCTGGCCCTTGTGTGGTTCCAAAGTAGGAACTTGAAATTCTTTGGGGGTTATGCATCAATAATTTGCCAAGAGAACACATTTTTCTGTCAAAGGTGCACTTCTATTTGCCTCTCCTACAGCATGTTCCTCGACATGGATTCAGCTCTGTCTTGATAGTGAGATTCTTCCACGCATTCAACTTCCTGAGCCGCCTGATAACCTTAGGGTTTGAGTGCTGAAGGATTCAGTTGTGGGAGAAGCTGTATCCTCCCCTTAAGCATCAGGAGGGTTAGTTTCACAATCTGTCCTTCCATCCGATCCTGGGAGATCCTGAATTCATTGTTGCACGAATTCTTTAACGGACTTCATATTGGAGGGTTCTCCTTGTTGAGTTCGTTACGCTCTCCTCTTCTTGTTGAAGGTATGACTCCACACTCACCGCACTTTTTAGGATGTTGAATCCCAAAATGTCTTTCGGGTCACGGCCCAAGGAATAAAAAGTTGGTCAGATGAGAGCAATAAGAGACAAGAGGAGAATTAAAGAATAAGTCACAAATAACACTAATTCTCTGGGAATAACACTAATTCTCTGTTGAATCCCAAAATGTCTTTCGGTCACGCCGAAGGAATAAAAAGTTGGTCAGATGAGAGCAATAAGAGACAAGAGGAGAAATAAAGAATAAGTCACAAATAACACTAATTCTCTGGGAATCGATTCAGTATTCCGTTCTGTAGAAATGACTCTCCTAATTATAAGTCATAGAAGGAGTCTAATAAATTACATGATTGTCCCTTTTTTAATGGAAAAGTTACAATTATTTATGAATCATTACACTTTTACATATTTGTAATTGAATTTGACATATTTTGACCTTACACAATTGCTATTGTCGTTCCATATATGTAACTGTTCTAAGCATTATTTTGTATTTGTAACTGTTTGACTTGGTCATGTGGCTTTCGTTCGGTCGGCCTAAAAGTCATTTGACCGACCGAATTATCATTCGGTCGCCTTTTTCCAAGGGGATCCATTGTGAATACTCATTGTCCTTTGGAAGGATTATTTCATCAGACAGAAGACACATTACCATAATCTGACAAGCAACCTACCTTCGGTCGATGAATCTATATAAAAGGAGCCCCCGTTAGGCAATTGCTGTCCTTGCAAATTCCCTGTGTTGGTTAAGTCGTTATTGGTATAGGTGCCCAAAATTCGGCCGACTAGAGTGATACTGGATTGCTCGGTCTTTTGCTTCTCTCTTCGTGCGATCAGTTGGATCTTCTTGAGATTCGTGCAGCCACATTAATGCTAAGAAAAAAAAATTTAAATTCTAATTGAAGGAGATCACCGCTACACTCCACATGTTGTGGAGAGGCTATTCATGTTCCGTTTTTTTTGGAGGAAGCTTTGACGTGCTTATTGAAACTTGGCATGTGGAGGGTGGACCAAGCTTGAATTTGAAGTAAGAAATTTAGACATTTTTTTAATCCTAGCTATATTTGATGATGGTTTGACTTATCTTGATTATTAGATTCTTGTGACCTTGCTTTATGACTGGTTTGATCTCGATGATCTTGGAATGCTGTTATCATGTGATGGAGATGGCCATCGATTCAAATAAGGAAGTAAATTCAAATCTCTATAGCATCCATAGTTGATTATATTTATGCTAGAATTTGAAATCTTGTGATGTATCAATTCAACCAATCTGCAAGTCTCTGCCTAGTATAATTAAAATTTGTCATATGCGCTAAATGTAGTTGTGCTCCACAATGGGTTTAGCTTGAAGTATCTGTGATTCTCTACACTATTAGATGATTCATAGTAGCAATAAGATCATTAGGAATAGTTGCCATTGTTGGTGATACACATGATAAGGGAGTGTGTTTAACAATTAGAAAATTATTTATAAGCATTTTCTTTGGTTTTGTGTCAACTTCTTGTGTATTTGGTAGAGAAATTTTTTCAAGAGATATGCCAGTTGTATTTAAGACATGAAATTGTATTAGAACATAAGGTTTAATTGGTTTATCATATTTGTTTTTGGTTCTTATGCTCTGCATCATATTTTGCATTTGGTTTATGAGTTCTATCAGTTATTGGGTCTTTAGTTGCTCTATCTAGTAGACAAGTCTACTTCATTTATTCAGAAATGCTCAATTGACCCATGACATATTTTGGTGGCATTATGATTTACAAAAAGAAATTAAGACTTCAAAGAAAAACATAATAGTATTTTGCGCTATTTTTGACTAATAATAATAATTATAAGTAAAATAAATTCTCACTAGCTGAAATTTTTTAAAGGAGCTCACTGCTACTTGATGCTTCATGTGGATTGAGAATTTCCTTAAGTATTGTTGTGGCTGTGTTTATGTCGCTCTTTCTGCCTTGAGCACCCGTGGGTCCAAGGGTTTATTAACAAGTTGGTGGTAATGGAAGTGCGAGATTTTTTTTTGTTTTTATTTCTCATTTTTTTTTTCTTTTTGTGTGTATGTGTGTGAGCTTGAAATACCCCTTACCCATGGTGATGTTGGGGTTTTGGTGAATGATTATTGCAGGTGTGTTTGGTTAGCCTAACCAAAGGTTAATCTTACTCCTAGGAGAGATGGAAAGCTTACATGGAGAGATTATTTTTTGGGAGCTGGAGTCAGATAACTCCCTAGTTTTGGGAGTTGCTATCCATGTATCATATTTCATGGATGAAGCTTTGAAATTTGCACTTGAACATGGGATTGAGCAGGGTTAGGCTTGAATTTGAAGTGAGGAATTTTGCATTACTTTTATCTAAGGAATATTTGAAAACGTTCTCACAAATATTGATCACCACACAGTTGAAAACTTGGTTGTTGGATTTTGTGATTCATCTTGATTATCTTCTAATACTCTTGTATTGTGATGGAGGTGGTAATCCATTCATACAAGGAATTGAAGTCCAAATCTCCTAGTATCCTAATGCTTGATTATAAAAATTGAAACACTGCTGCATTATCAATGTTGTATGTGAATATATTTCTATTTTCCACTTACAATAATAAAATTTTATCTTTATTATTCAGGGATTCGAGGTAAGTGGGTCAGATATTAATTGGAACATCCGCATGGATGACTTGCATAATGCTGGGGTAAATGTATACTTGGGCCATTCGATAGCTTGTTTGGAAAACAAAACTGCTGGAAAGCCGCCAGATGCAATTATAATCTCAAGCTCTATTCCAAAAGATAATGAGGAGGTTTTACACGCAGAGTCAATGGGAACCCCAATGTTGGTACTTCCTTCCATCTCTTCTGTCAGTTTGTGTTAGTTTATTTCATTTAGACCAATTTTGTGTGTTTTTATTTTTTGTGAAATATTTACCAACTCTTTGGGATTAGTTGAGTCTAAGGTAGTCTAGGCAGGCAATACCTGCAACTAGGAGCCATGTGATGCACCTTGTTCCTTATCATTCAATCATAAGTTCTAGTGCTGAAATTATACTGTTTCTGCAAAATTTTGCCTAATTGTTCGCTGCCAGATCTTATACCAGATTTTAGGTTCTAAAAAATTATTATATTTCTTTTATTTTTTATAATTTTACAAAATTTGTGCTCAATGAATCGTGGTGGCAATGATAAAGTTTGCCGCAATGAAATATTGGATCCCTAATTTATAATAGGGAAATTTATATACATAACACACAATTCTTTTGTATTTACGTATCTAACACCTAAAGTTTGATATTTACACTGGTAGCACCTTTGTATCATACATTTATGCATGGAAATGTGCATTTCGCTTTTAAAAAGGAACTGATTGTGGTATTTTTGATGTGATGTTAAAGATTTGAGTGTTATGGATGTTCATATGATTGTTTAGGAGTTTGATAGGTAAATACATAAGAATTGTGTGTATGTATGTAAATGTCCCTTTATGATATTTTTGTTTGTTAGTGTTTTGGTGTTTGGTTTGTTCTTTGTTTGTGAAAGGGGTTTTTGATGGATGGTCTTGAGTTAATGAAAAAGGCCACGTGTAAGAAATGAGCTTGAGCCTAGGAAAAGCTCACTATTGCCTCTCTTGAATGATTAGAGTTGGAAGTTGTTATAGCTTTCACCTTCACAATAGAGAAATCTGATTAATGGAATTCCTATTGAGGGGTTTAGTAAGTGAACACAAGCTTGAATTATAGATAGTTGTGCTTATCAAAGTTTACAAGTACATAATCGAATATTGTCATATTTTTGATCCATAAGTCGAGGCATATGCCTTGAAATATTTTGACGCAGAAGTCCCAAAATCAATAAATTGCACCAGAGTAGAAAGATTATACTAAGTTAAAGTTGGCAGTAAACATAAATGCAAATGACATAAAATGGTGCGTGCCTTGATGCATGGAGTCTTGCAATGCACCATCAACTCCATCTGCATCATGTGATTTATCACGTCAAAATGGCATGCACTATTTGTGCCATGCATGAGCAATGACATATGGCACATCCCCTCATGGCACATGTTAAGTTAATTTTTTAGATTTAATATGAAAAAAGTGAAGAAAATTTTACCTAATACTTATTCCATTCTCATATATTTGCATATCTAACACCAAAAAATTAATAGTTATTTATATAACATATTAAAAATACTAATGCTAATTTATGTAAAGCAAAATACACATTATGTCATGAATATGTTTTTATGTGATTATGACATAAAAAGTTATATATGTGAATATAATACTTTTTGTTGAATATGTAAATATATTAGAATTGTGTGGTATGTATGTAAATTTCATAACACCCACACATACATACATATGTACATATATGGGGCATATTTGACCACATTGTCTTGTTCACAGGATAGTGAGCATTATTCTTCTGATGAGGATGATAATGAAGTTTATGTTTTATGAGCTTATAATGATGTTGATGAAAAAAATAAGGTTTATTTAACTTATGGTGATGATGATGATGATAAATCTTTGGATGACTAGTTTAATTGATTATGAAAATATTAAACCTGTAAAAATCATAATATTTTGGATTTTAATTAGGGTATTTAGCACTTAAATTTAAGTATTATTTGTAATTTATTATTATTATTATGTCATTTTATCTATTAATTTAATATTCTTCTAATTGTATCTGAAATTTTTAATATTTTGCTCTATTTTTAAAATGACGTGTCGTGTTATGCGCTACACGCTATGATTTTGCAGAGAATTTCGTGCTATGGTGTGCCATTCGTCACTGACAAGTATGAAAATAAATAACATATTAATATCCTAACATATTATCATATTAAGATATAAAATATTTACATCTTAAAATGATAAAAGTAATAAATTGTTCGAAGTAACAAGTAACATATTAACATCCAACATCAAATGATAAAATAAGAATATTATACAAACATCAAAGTAAGACTAATATAATAATTCAAATAATTTTGATTCAATTAGTCTCTCTCACTCTTACTGTTATTTATCAAATTTAAAAATATCACTACCCACTAAGGTTATGATTTCTAAATTCAAAAGTCCACATCACTCTTATCACTTAGGATTGCTTGGTTTGGTAAAAAAAAATAATGCACTGTAAAGGAAATGCAAGTAAAAGTAATGTATTGTTTGGAATATTTTGTAATTTTTTGGTTCAATTAAACTAAATACAGAACTTCATATTTATTTGTTTGGTTTGAAATAAAATAAAAACACCTCACATAAAGCTATGTAATTTGAATTCACCCAAATTCAGCATATCAAAAATACTTTGAAAATAAACTAAGGAATGAATTTCAAATGCATTGCTATTTTACACTATATGCGTTTTCTAAAGTCCTTGTAAAAGGAATTTAGTGTTTTTCTTTTGTAGCCGACCAAGATAATGAGATTTCATTGAAATCATTAGTATAAAGTTTCTTTTCTCTCTCACCTCATATTCAATTGTATCCATGTTCTATTATTCCTTCTCATCTTAAATTTCATTCATATTCTTATAATTTAGTCAAAATTAATGAATAAAAATGTTTATTAAATTTTAATACAAACTTCATTTACATTCTCAACTGTGTATTCTATGAGTAAAGAATGTTTATTAGGGTTATTTTATTTATATTTATTTTATGAATGTGCTTAAATCTAATTATGTGTACCTCAACAGAACTAAGTCGAGGCACGCTTCACATTATGTAAGGCATTAGCCTCATGCTGTCACTAACGAGTCGCAAGCTTCACTGCAAACATTTTAAAGAGCATCGTGGCGGGCCTCATATTGCGCAATATTATACCATGGTGTTTATTAGTGTGTTTGCTTGCTTACCTCTTCTCAATCACTAACATTTTCAAACCATACCGACTTTAAAATGTTAAATTTTATTTGTAACATTCATATAATTATTTATAAGTAAAATATCAGTACACTAATAGCATACTATGATAGTATTGTGATAGTCTATGATAGTGTGTATTCTATACTACTATATTATTAGCGATGGTTGTGCTTTAGAAGTATGCTATACTAGTAGTATAGTAGTAGTGGTGGTGTACCATTCTAGTTCTACTAGAGTATACTCACATCATAGTTAACTACTACTACAAAGGGGAAGGGCGAGAGAGAGAGATTGTTTGTTGCAATCCATTATTTAATTTTCTTCCAGAGTTGCATTAGTTAGTTTTGTCAAGAACTTTAGGAATATTTGTGTACAGCTAAAATGATCTTTATTAAATCCTTAATGGAAAACCTTCCTTTTACCGGATCTAATCATTATTTCACATTGGATGGATTATTCCTTGATCAAGTTATGGAATATTTAAAATTTATCTCTTCTACCATGAATATTGCGCTGATTTTTTTTAAAGTGGTATGGTTCAATTGTTTCATTTTTATATTGGATTTAATCGGCTGATTTTTTTTAAAGTGGTTTTCATGATGATATCAAGATTTATGGCTACAGATGTTTTTATTATAAGCTAATGAAGCTTTATAGGATGCAAATAAGGATGATGATTTGGAATGACTTTGTGTGGAGTTATAGATGCACATAACTGGAAATGTTAGTTAGGATTTAAGAGCATGTAGGAGGTTCCCCAGGTGGCATGGCTTACTAGCTGCTTGAGATATATATCATTAATTGCTTATATATCATTTTCCTTATGGAAATCTATCACTTAGATGTAGATGACTGGATGAAGGTCAATGGAGCACTAAAAATTTGGTCATGTCATTTGGATTTTACATTTTAAGGATAGAAATAAAACTCTAAGTAGTCGTTTAAAGTACAAGGATGAAAGTTAAAATTGAATGGTTAACAACATGACTTTAATCATTCTATTTGGTGTTGAAATTTATGGAGATGCTTCAAGCCTACATTATTGATATTAGTTTATTCTTCTTAATATCTTTTACCCCTAATCTTACTGATTTTGGTGATTGTATTGCTTTCTCAATCAGTGTAGGTATCTTGTAATGTGAATTGCAGATTCTCTTTTCAGCTTGTTATTTGGGTTTGTATTGCTAGTTTCATTGGTTCCGCCCAGCATCTCTATAATAATCCTTTTTAATGGAGTTGAATTTGTCTTGCACTTACAAACTCAGAATAAAAGGCCGAATATGTTTTTCTGTCAAGAACAGATATAAGAGAGACTCCTGGCTTCAAAAAATCACTGAACACTACAATCTGATTGCTATCGCTGGTACACACGGTATGTAACTTTGCTTAGAAAAGGTTCTTATTGCCTTAAGAAAAAATGAGAGAGTAGAGAGTAGATTTCTTCGTAATGTTATTACATAAATCATTCTTATTTGTTTTGAATATATAATCCGCCAGCAAGAAACATTCAATGGCAATAAAATTAAAAATTTTTGGCAACCATTTTTAGTAGTAATACCTTTGATGGATCTTGAGCAATATATGTAGCTAAATTCCTAGCAATACTTCACCTTGATAACATGTCATATGCTGAAATATATCAAATCATCTATAGGAGTGTTACTGTCATCAAAAGATTTTGTTTATTTGAGATGCTATCGGCAAGCACGGCTTCTTATATAGTTTCAATTGATCTATCAAAAGTTATAAATGGTCATCTAGTTTACCTTTTGGTTTGCTTGGATTGGTAGTAATCATTATAAGAAAAAAATATATGGAATAGTCATGCACATCTAAAAGGAGAGGTATGTGACATAACTATAACTGATCAACATGAGTACGATGAAACACATTAGTTATAAGAGTAAAACCATTAGCACATGAGCCAAGTTTAGAATTATTTTATTATTATTATTTTGTGTTTATGTTGTTTTCTTGTTTGTTGTTTTTATACAATTATCTACAATATTTGCATTTCAATTTATATTTTGTTATGCTTATATTACAGCATGCATCTATTAGTCAATCTTTTATGCATTTGGGCCTTATTTAAAAACTAGTTATCGGTTTTATAGAAGTTATTTGTTAGAAGCTTATCATTTGGATTGGTCATTTTTAGCATTTTGATAAAATGATTGAAATATTGTTAAGACAGTAGAATCTATTTAATGCTTATAGTTCTAACTACAAAATATAACTCTTAATGATTGTGCAACCCCATTAAAACGATTTTTGAGCAGCATGTACATGCATGGAATCTTTGTTGGGAGGTTATTCAACAACTTGTTTTAACATAATTTCTACCATGAGCTTGTTCATTATTTAATTGTGTTTCAGTTAAGCACAAAACTGGATGTCAACATATTGCAGTTCATAGTCATGTATGTCCAAAACCAAGAACCTAGTCACAACTTTCTCTAATATAAATTTGCTATGACTTCATTACATGTATTTGGTTATTGTATTTAGAATAAGGGAACCCAAGTTTTTTCATTTATCATGAATATTTTATGTTGGCAAGCCCCATAAATAAATAAATCAAATCCACAAATAAATTTAGTTGTTTATTATTTTCATACAAGAATAAGTTTATTGTACCTTTATGAATTCTTAAATCCACAATTTCTAATTAAAAGGATATCATTAACCCCGCCCCCGAAAAAGACCAACACACACAAACAAAACAACAAAAGCACAACAATTGTGAATACTAATTAAATGCAAGTTCATAACTTGATCAAGATCCTTTCCTTGTTATTTCCAATTGAACTGTGGGTTTGTGAATATGATGCATGTAGTAGGTTACTAATACTCATCAGACATTTCATATTTAAGAAAAATAATAAAATGAAGCATGCATCTAGTAGCAAGGTTGAATATCTAAATAATAAAAGAAAAAATTGAAAATCAACATCTAAAGATCACAACAAACTCTATCTTGGTGATTTGACGTTGGCTCAAGGATCACATTGACTGTAAATTAAAAAGAACTGTTGAGGTTCCACATATTAATGAAATCATCTATTCTAAATCTTCAAAAATTATCAAAACACTTGCAAACTTCAGAATCATATAAACTTAAGAATCCTAGATGAGCTGTTGGATAGTGGAGATCAGAAACAAGAGTTCACATCAGGCTAAGGATATTATTTTACTCTCCAACTAATTCTCACTTGATTTAGTCCTTTGGTAATATGTAAAATTTTGGTAGGGGGAACTAAAAATTGTTGCAATGTTCAACATAATCTATTAATTATATCAAAAGTTTTTTTTGTTAGTATTTCGGGGCTTCGAAAATTCTGACACCCCTCAATTCTCACATTTGTTTGTTGAAAGAACTTGAGAGTCAAATTTTCAGAAGATAGATTGAATTATAGATAGGACAATACCCAGAGATTTCACCATCATTTTATGAGCATTTTTTTGATATGGGGTTCGAGGTTTCCCATAGGCGCAAACCCTTATGGTTAATTGCCTCTTCTGATAACAAGAGAGCATTTTCAATTAAGTCTAGTCATTAACACTAAATAATCAACATATAGTATCAACATGAATATGTTTTAAATTGTAAAATTTATCACTTGGAGCTTAAAGTGGATGGTAGAGGAAATGATGACGAATCCGATCAAAATCTCATGGTTTCGTTGTCTCGGGATCTACTTAGTCAAGGAGGTAGTCGACCCAAACTAACTAAAGGATCATTGTTAACAATCACGGGTTGAGTCATTCAAGAGACCCTTATAAACCTATGCTGAATTTTTGTTTAAGAGAATAAATTTAAGTCTATCATAGCTAACAAAAGGCTTTGTGTCAATCAACTATACTCTTATGATTTACAATTCAAAGGGTAGAGAACCGTTGGGAACATACAAACTACTATCGCGAACGTAATATAATAATGTTAGTTGTCGGTAATCACCTGGTTAGAGCGGGCTCTGTCGTAACTGGTATGTAATGGTGTCATTTAGCACCAAAATCATTTTGACAGAGGACTTGGACCACGTCTTTACTGATATGAGATTACTTTGAGTGTGAATATAGTGACATGTAATTCACCGTTTGTGGGCTGAGGTCAATCATAAATATGTTACCTTTGATAAACTGTTGCGGAGGGTGGATAAAAATTGTTGTAAGTTTTTAGCGATTGATTTTAACTTGGATGTTTTGATTTGTCTTTTTTTATGTTTTTAGCTAATTGATTTTAATTTTAATGTTTTGGTTATTTTGAAAATTTGATCTGAAAATTAATTTAGAAGTTGACCCTTCTGTTTGATATTTTCCGTCAACATGGATATCATTAGGGATTTGAATATTTAAAAATTTTATGCTTAAGATTCATTAGTAATTTGTTAATTTTGATATCTTTAGCATCTTAGTCCTATCGATTCCGGTCTTAATAAGGAGGAGAATTTGATTAGATAATTTGGACTTATAAATTTTATATATGTGAATTAGAGATTATTAGAACCCTACCAAACTTGTCAACTCCAGTTCTTACAAGGAGGATCTGACTAGTTAGGTGAAACTTACAACCTTGTTTAGTACACAAGGCAGCCCAATAAATCAAAAAATCATTCAAAACTTAAATGTTTAATTAAATACCATGACTTTAGATTGAATGCAATAATTTCATTGTAAATCTTTTATCGCCTTCTGTCTACTTGCATAATCAGGTTGCGGATTCGGTGGCAATATTGAAATGTTAAGCTTTTATTTTGGCTTTTGAAAATATCATTTATGTTACTTAGGCCAAATTTATGATATTTCATAATTAGGTCAACTTGTCAACCCCTAAGCTTATCCCCAATTAAGTTTATTCTCAATTTATGTACTTAAATATATCACATAATATTTATTTTCATTTAGACATAGATTTTTATTTGATCACTTTTAAATATAATTAGATTTGAGACTTTTGATTCCCAATTTATGTTTGCCTTCATTTCTATTTTTGTATCATTTCGAAGTCCAAATTATTTAGTTTTCTTTTTAGAAGCATTTGAAGTCTAAAATCACTAAAAATTTTGGCAGCGTCATAGCATCATCCCCGTTTAGGTGGCTACAATGTGATGTTTGGCCAATCCAATTTCTGTAAGGCGCGTTGGTCAGTGTTCTGAGATACTACGCTCATAAAGAGATCTTCTAATCTACCGGCCTATAGAGCGTGTGTGGTTGTTCAATTAACTTGAATAAAAGTGTCACGACTATAATTTCCTTGTCGAGTTAATATATACTGAACGAGTGCTTATAATTTCTTCAATTTTTGTAACTTCGAGCGTGAAGCGACGACGACAACATGAAGAAATCGATGATACGACGAACTTCAATACAAAATTTCCTCTTTTTCTTTTTTTTATTTAATTATATATATATATATATATATTTTTTTTTTTTTTGAAAAGCCCAAGGGCTAATTTTATTGAAATAGAAATGATACAAAAAAGTTGTATGAGAGAGCCCAAAAGAGACATCCTGCCCATACGATACAAGTACAATAATACCCCAACAAAAAGATACAGATAGACTCAATAAAAAATAAAACATGCAGAAAACAAGTAGCTAGGGACGAACAAGTTTAGTCCTGCCTTTTCCTCTAGTTTTAGGAGCGAAGCCAGATAACAATCTTTGAAGAGTTGTGTCATTGTCAGAAGTAACTAAAGTATCATCCTTTAAGTTTCCAAGTTGGAGTGTGCTCCTAACATTCTTCTTCCGCCGGGAAGTGTAAACCTGTCATTCATCATCTGAAGGCTGGCTCATGTGATCCTCGATCTGATTTGATGTTAGAACCGCAGTAGAAGGAAAAACAGTCGTTGCCACCGCGATAGGTTCCAATGTATGTGAAGTGTGAATTGCTACCTCTGCACCTGATGCTTCCTGAATAGGAGCCGCGGGACTATCCTAATTTTCGGTTCGAACATTATCCGTTGTAGTATGGTCAGGAGAAGGGTTCCTAGGGACAGATACCAACTTCTGCTTGTGGTGATTCCCTCCTCAGGCTGGCTGTCATCAGGTTTGCTGGTAGCGCGTTCAGACACATGTGGTACACTAATAGTGTGTTCCTGCTTTTGACTATTAGTTCTTAACTGTGGGTGCAATTTGAAACATTTCTCCTGCTGGTGTCCAAACATCTTGCAATGCTTGCAGTAATAAAGTTTTTGTTCCTTAATAATTTTTTGTCAATAACCATTGTGAGCAGATCCAAACTAGAATTCTTCTACATCTGGTAGTGTAATATCTCGTTCAATCAAAATCCTTGCAATAGAGGGTCTTGAGTTTGAGAAATGAACTGTGAAATGAACTGTTGGTAAGTCTACCTGTAAATGTCTTTCAACG